CTTCAATACATCGCCAGAACACTTCGTGACACGACTATATTATTCAAAACCAAAAATTTTTCAGAGCAGAAAAAGTAATTTTAGGTATATTGCTAGAACAATACATACTTCTCATCAACCTTCTATGGGTATTTTCACCTCCACCTGAAAAAATATACAAATTGTAATGGGATAACTTATCAGGGTGCCCCTCCTACACTTGTATAAAGTTCTCCATTACAATTTTTATATTTTTTCAGATTGTGGAAGGTGAAAATACCCAAAAATGGTGAAGATAAATTTGATTTTTTTCACATATAATGACTTTTGTTCAATAACATATACTTATTCTTTTTATGTGAAAAAATGTATTCTTAGATTTTTCAAGGACAAAACACTACAGGAAAATCCTTAAGGTGCTCTTAGAGCGGTGCCTGTGCGAAAGTAGTGATTCACATTGGATTTGAATCACTGGAGACTAAATCCATTTGAAAAAACGTTCTCAGGAAGTTTGTTCCACATATATGCCGTTCTCCAAATGAAAGAGTTCTTAAACAGTGAAGTTCAAGGTGTACTGAGTTGAACCTCAAAACGATGAGCAGTCACAGTTTATCGCGTATTTCTGATCTGCGCCGCTCGTGGTGGAATCAAATGTGAAAAAATCTGTAATCTGAAGAAATCTCAGAAGTCGAAACTTTTGCGAGCTAAGGATTAACGAGGTATTACCTTTTAACGTGTGATTCCTGTTATGTGATGCCAAGTCACTTGAACACTTCCCATGAAAGTATCAATAGAAGAGAAAAATCTCCAACCTTTCTTTGATGTTCCAGACTATGAAGGTTGCATGTGATGTTCGCGTCTCCAATCAGGCAGATGGCTCTTTACTGGTTGGAATCCAGCAGGTTAATGGTTAAAAATATCTCCTGAAGAGACCAACTTGGATGGTGACATATGTGGCGAGAAGAGAATTGAAATTCTAGTAAATAGGAAATGTTCTTGTTTTGCATATTATTGTGTTCATATGGCTATTAAAAATGGTTTGAAATTGTATGTTCATAATATCAAGTTCAATGAAATTTCAATCATATTTTTCATTTAATTGAAGGAAGGTCTACCGAAATGTTGTATCATTTGATGAATGAATAATGTTTTTCAAATCAAAAACACGTAAAACCAAATTTTAAATATAAAAAAAAAGTTTGTTCAAACAGTATAACAAACTTTTTGAAAAATCATCAAAATCAGAGATGTTCTTGAGCATTTCTAAGAAATCGCCATTGACAAGACTACAAGAAATAGAACACACTCTACTTACCGTAACTTTTTCACTGGACCTAAGAGCAGCTTCACTCAATAGTAACTTATGGGCAGTATGCAATCGATCAAAAGTGCCTCCCAATACTGTATGTTTATAAATATCATCTGGCATACCATCCTCGTTCTCCGAAACATTGTAATTGTCAGAATCTAGGGTCACAATATGGAAGTCGGTAGTAATATTTTGAATTCTGGTTTTAATGAAAGAGTCTATTTCAGTCTGCGGATATGGCTTATCAAAAATTATCAAATCAATTGGCTTCCGAGTTTGAATTTTTGAAATATTGTATTTGATACCAGATAGAAGAACTCGAACATCCAATTTGTCACATTGATTGGCTGCCTGAAAGAACGGAATATTTTCAGATATTGAAAATTATATTATTATGTAATATAGAGAATATCTATACAAAGTTGGAATTAATAGATGAATTGTTTCTTACATTTGCATAAATCCCAAATATAGTTTTACTAAATCTAGGGCAGGTTTTGAATACTTTGGGCTGAAACCCCACCTGTGCATCACCCAGTGCAGATAAAATCTGTATATAAAGAGTATTTTTGACTTGTTTTTGTATAGAAGATAATATACTAGTAATTTTTTTGGGATTGGAGATTACTAGTAATCCAGTTTTGAACATCTTAATTGAATATTTCAGTTTCAACTTGGTCTTGGGGAAAACATATCTTAAACTGGAAATAATATTGGAAAAAGTCAACTCAGTTCAGAGTTCAAAGTTCCTAAAACCATAACCTTGTTACTTTACAAATCAAATATTTGAAATATAAATATTACAATACACATATATTTGTGTCTAGTATTCCGGTGTACGTTAAAAATGTGTGAAGTGTCGCGCAATTATACAAAAGAAGCGCTATCAGAGTAAAATGAAAATAAACTAGAATTAATACAAAGACTAGTTCGTGCGAACGATTCCTCACATCTGTATTCTTGGGTTATTCATACATAATACGATTAATTACAGAGATACAAATTCCAATGTCGAACTCAAGCCCCAATTTACTCGTTCTGGTAGAAACAATAACATGATCTAAATTAAGAGATAAATGTGAATTGTAGTCATACTGGTCGCAGTGGCATTAAATCTTATATTGGGTTATGTATGCAATCGCATTATCGCATGAAAGTTCACCGATTTTTTTTATTTACTCTTGTGAATTTCTTAGAATCTAGAATTATTAACGGTGTCAGTTTGTGTGAGTTGTGAACAAATTTTATTTTTATGTGAATATTGAAATGAAAATATATTATGGTGAGTGAACACGTTTGCTTTATTATTAGCCTATCGGATAGAAATCAAAATATTTCATTAATTATGTTACAGTTGTGGGTCCTCCCTTATGATTATAGATGCGTTTCATTGGCACTGGTTTATTCCTGATTTGTCCGTCCTGAATAAAGTTATTAGTTTTTTCCGCTCGATCAAATTATGCCGAGAAGAGATGACAAATAATTTTTGACGTGACTGACTCAATCTGGAATATCTAACATGTGTGAGAATAGAACGTATCTATCTACATCCTATCTATAATAGATCGGCCAAAAGTGAGACCGGAATTACGTTTCATTTTTTGTGTGAAATTGTACATTCCTTATATACTTCTGTACGGTCACAGAATACTAAGTAATTACTATTCTGTGGTACGGTGCTTCTCTCGCTAAAACTTTTGACATTTATGACATTCGTTCACAGAAAATTAGAAAAATGGAAATGAAAAATATTAAAAAGGCAATGGAATAAATATAGAGGTAGAGTGATTGTATTGTGGTATAAAACGAACTAGAAATTGCTTATTCAACTGGAGAATTTTTTAATTTCTGTCATTTGGCCCTTTTATTTCACAAGGTAATATGAAAATAAATGAGAAAAATTTGTGTTCTTTTGCCGTGTCTGCGACTCCTGTTGATAAAGAGGGGTATTTGAATAAAAGAGGTGAAGTGAATAAAAATTTTCAAAGGCGTTACTTCCTATTGAAAGGCAATTTACTTTTTTATTTTGATAAAAAAGGCGACAGGGAACCAGTTGGAGTTATCATATTGGAGGGCTGTTCCATTGGTGAGACCTATATTGTAGATAATAATAGATTTCATGAAATATTTACTTGTAGAATTAGCTGAGGATGATGAACAATTCAGTTTCAAAATTGAATTTCATGGAATAAATAACAGAAGTTATGTTCTTGGAGCTGAATCTCAAGAATCTATGGAACAGTGGATGAAAGCTTTGGCTTGTGCTGGTTATGACTATATGAAATTAATGGTAGCTGAACTTCAAAGACAATTAGATGATATAGAAGGTGAGCATTTGATAAAAAATTGAAAGGTGCAACTGAAATTCCTGGCATAGAATGAATCCAAAACAAGCACTGTACCCAAACAGACTTCTCGAGACGCGTTTCTCCAACCAAGTTGGCATTTTCAGGAGATGAAGTGAACTAATGATGAGAAATTATTGTTCATTGTTTCTTAACTTGAAATTTGATTAATATACTAGGTAGACTCAGTTCGATAGACCTTTCAGAGGGATATATAGGTCAAAGTTGTGATTTCAAAATAATTGCACTTTTTTTATGGTAAAAATATTCATATACTGCTTTTGGATTGTTCACTGTTTTATGGATCAATTTTGGCATTAAATTTATCTATTTGTTTTTGTGTAACTTGTCAGTTTTTTATATGTGTCTGAAATATTTTAGAATATTCAAAAAACCAGGTAAGGTTTTATAAACAACAGAAAGAGATAAATTTCATCAAATCTTATCAGGAACTTAATTTACCTATCTGACAATTATCTGTACTTTTAGTGAACTGATATGTAATTATGGAAAATGACATTATTAGTTATGAGAGTGGAAATAGTAAATTTTATGTTCTTCTAGAGACACCCTTACCACTTCCATCCTCACAAGTAATGAGTTCTCCAGTTCCACCTCCAAGGACGAGGCACAACCCTTTCAACAAACCCGAGATCAACCCTCATCAAAGGTCAAATAGTTTGAGGTCTACATGCTCAAATTCAAGTAAGTACTACTGTACTACAGTGACTAACATTTATCTCAACAGCTTCCATCCATGCAGAAAGAGGATTAAAAATATTTCAAACTTTATTTCAGTGTGGCTAACAAAGTTTATGGTGAATGTTACCAGTTTGTACTTCTATTTTCTAAAAGGTTTTAACAGATTTGAACTCTGGAAGAAGAAATGAAGACAAAACCACACTGAATATACCAATGAGTTAGTTGAAACAAAAATAATGACAAAAATGAGAAAAAATAAATAACTTTTGAATGCTAATTTGTAAAGGAAATAAATAGGGAAAAATGTCAATTATGATGAAATGTGTCATCATTCGTCTTCATTATTTTATTTTAACTATTCTTTTATTTTCTGTATTTTGTATATAATCGACATTTCACTCATTGTTTGATTCATTTATTAATTAATTTCAATTTCAAGTCACAATAATTAATTTCATGAAAAATGAGAATTAAAGATTCCTATGTTTTTATACCACTTGTATTTGTAACTAAAGTTACTACAGTTTCGTCCTACAAGATCATTTTCAAACGTTCAAACTGCAGTAACATTGGTTACAAATACAAGTGGTATAAAAACAAGATGTTTCAATTCTCATTTTTCATGATGATATCCTACCATGTAGTAAGGGCTACATCCATCAATTTATAATAAATTTCTTGCTTGCGAGCTGGCGCAGACGAAAAATTGCATGTTGCTGCATGAAGTTGAGTTTGAAGTTTATAGTTAAAGTTTCCGGGAAGAGTACCGGTCATATAGGGATGACAAAGAGAGGAAGCTGAGACCAATAATGATGATAATAAATGTCATTTATTGGTGAAAACCAAAGGGACATCGACCGAAGTCTTGCAGCCAGTATACAATTTTTAAATATTTACATTGTTTTTTACATATGCTTACATAAAAGAATTTAGGTACATTAGATTTGTGGGAAAAAAAGGAAAAAAGTATAATAAATCATTGGAGTGATTTGATGTTTTCCCAAATAGTTTTTTTTAGGTATTTGATTGGTTGTCCTTCAGCTCTTTTCCTACATAATGTCTGCAGGGTCTCAATGCTAGTTTCGTTTTCTGATAGTCTCTCCTTAATAGGTTTCACTTTTATAGTTTCATACAACAGTGCATTTGAGGGATTGTGTATTATGTTTTGAGGGTGACGCAGTTTGGCAATACTCCTTAATGTAAGGTATATCTATTTTGCAGGTCGGCAGGTCAGCAAATTGTTCTCAGTAGATTTCAACTCCAACCCTTTGAGTATGGAAAAATTACACATTCCTCATTAAATTGAAAATAAACCTTGCAGGTCGGTGGAAATTTTTGCAGGTCGGGTCTGCCTGCCAGTTATGGATCTCGACTGGATTATTAATTTTTGACAAAAAACTTCCAACCCCCCAAAGGGTGGGGGTTGATTTTTTTTTGTCGAAAATGATAAACCTGGGCGAAATTCATGTCTGGCAGACCCGACCTGCAGAAAATTTCTGTCCTCCTACAAGATTACGAAAGCAATGTCTACTGAGAACAATTTGCTGACCTGCAGACCTGCAAAATAGTTATACCCCTTAGTGTAGGCGATTAAATTAGGTTTTCAGTTGTTCAACGTTTCAGCTTCGAAACCATTATCGAGAACCGGAATGCATGGCTATAAAGATGTTTTTATCTACCTACTCCACGCTTTAAGGGTTTTGTGACTTGACACCGGGGTCTCAATCTGACTACTTCCGAGCTTTCATCACTGGTCTCTACCTTCCTACTTTCAAGCAAGGTTTTGGACTCTTATTCATGTCCCTGTACGACTGGAGGGGCGGATCAGTAGTGTGAGCGATGTAATTGAGTTCTGTAGCAAGTGGAACCAGGACCGCCCAACTGAATTCCTGTGCATGTACCTCATTAATGCAATAATAAAAAGTCTCCCAAAGAGAATAAACTTGTTTATATAAACATAGTCATTGACTGTATTTATCTTATTTATCTTGAGGATTGCAAGAATAAAAAGTATTCGTTTCAGTCAAATAATGACAGAAATAGTTTCAATCCATTTATTATGGAGTTTGTAACTGTCAACAAAGATTTTATCTTGAAAATCATACTGGGTTTCAAAGAAAAATGGATACTTTGAAAGATGATTCATTCTATTTTCTATGGACTTGATAATTTTCTTTGTTGTTCACCTTTTTTTTTACATGTGTTGTTCACCTACCTTCGTCAGGAAGGTGAACAACACAGTGGCTTGTGAAGTAGGTATTCTGTAACACATTTCAGGGAGAATACCTCCCATGGCTGAAGTATACTAATTTATTTATTTATTTCATACACTATACAAGATGATCCCAACTACAGAATGTACTTTCATAATATAACTTGTGAATCTATACAAAAAAAATATAAAAACAGAACTGTCAGCTAAGAAATGTCTTTTGATTTGTATAATCTGGCAGTTAAATAAATCTTGGACACGACTAACAGAATTAGAGGTTTGTGATATTGATGACTTATTTATTTTGTGGAAATTCATCTTCAATTGGATATAGGAATAAATTACTTTGTCTAATTTCCACTTACTTAATGTATTGATATTAATACGACCAAGGTTTCGGTTTTTACACCATTCTCAAGTGTTCTAGTACTACTGACCTAAATAGAAATATCGGAGTATATATATCCGAGAGTAGGTAATAAGAAATATACCTACATTCATTAATACCAACTACATAAAGTTCAAACTGTGATTAATTGCGTTGTCATCTTTATCACCATCAAAAGTGGATACCTACACAAATCTGTTTGCTCGTTTTATGAGTTTTTAATTGATTTATTGATTTCCATGGCTTCCAACAAATTCATTTTCCTTCCTTTACTACATGTAGGTTTTCATTATTTATTTTGTGGTTTGTTTCTTGTAGATGTTCGTACATAGAAGATTTTTTATCTACACCGATGTGTTCACGGAGTCTTACTTCAAAATTTCTGCCGGTCTGGCCTGTTTATACTGCAGAGCATTTACTACATTCTATTTTATATATGCCAGATTTCTTCATTGTGTCACAGAACAGAATACATATAGATATAGCAGCATTACTTAGGTAAACTTTCAGTAAATATTCAAAATTACTTTTCCAAATTCAACATAACATAATAACATCTTTCATAAGTAATAATAATTTGGGCAAAATCATATTTAATGCAAAACCTAGACGTAACAGAATGAAGAAATCTGGCATATATAGAATAGAATGTAGTGAATTCTCTGCAGTATATACAGGCCAGACCAGCAGAAATTTCGAAGTAAGACTCCGTGAACACATCGGTGTAGACAAAAAATCTTCTATGTACGAACATCTACAAGAAACAAACCACAATATGAGTAAGGAAAACCTCAAAATCTCTTACATACATGTAGTAAAGGAAGGAAAATGAATTTGTTGGAAGCTATGGAAATTAATAAATCAATTAAAAACTCAAAATATAAACCCCTTAACAAACAAACAGATTTGTGTAGGTCTCCACTTTTAAATTTATAAAGATGACAACACAATCACAGTTTGAAGTTTATGTAGTTGGTATTAATGAATGTAGGTATATTTCTTATTCTCTACTCTCGAATATATATACTCCGATATTTCTATTTAGGTCAGTAGTGCTAGAACACTTGAGAATGGTGTAAAAACCAAAACCTTGGTCCTATTAATATTAACACATTAAGTAAGTGGAAATTAGACAAAGTATTTTATTTCTATATCTAATTGAGAATCAGAGGTATCGCACATTGTATAAATTGGGAACTTTTTCATTATATTTGTTCGCGGAGTACTGACATAAAAGGTGGCACTATTCCTAGATGACCGTCTAGGAACCCAAAAATTCAACATATGTAACAATTGAGAGCAGGTAGGTAGCCAGGTAGCAGCCAGGAAAGGCTTTCCTACTTTCTGGTAACCAATAGCTTTCCAGACCAGAATGTGCAGCTATAGAATTGTATCTGTGGACCATATTTTGGAATACCATATATGTTAGCTAAGCTGGCATACTAAGAATTCCAGTTTTTTGGTTGATATTCAGACATCGGACGTTCAAGGTGCAGCAACTTTTCCACATAAGTGCATGCTATGGAGGGTTTATTCATCTCTGGTTTGAATGAATCATCTGTTAGGCATAAGCATTGGCTAATCTGCTCACTTTCGCTACTGAAGAATTTGGTACAAGGCAGACTCATATAATATCCTGTTTTTGTGGAGGCAGTAAGTCACTTCCAGGTTGAACCAACTGACTTTCTAGTTAACAGGATCAACAATTGGAAAACTGAGAAGCTCTTGCTCTTGATACGGTGTTACATCCATCTCCTCTGTAGACTAAGGGTCAGTTACTTCATGGTCCATAAACACACGAGTAGCTAGGGAAAGAAGGTAATCACTGCAGAACTCCGCGTTACCTTGAGATATCTTTCTATACACATAGGAATACACACACTTTAGTATGAGGCTTATTTATTTAGAAGGACTTTCACCTTCACGGTGAGACATTATCCAGCAGACATTCTTACACCTCCCTGTTATGGGGCGTATTTTTTTATCTGAAAGATAATGTTGAAAGTTGTTTCAAAAATCCTAGATGTCTCACTAGAAAAATGAAACATGCTAACCTCTCATTTTTCAGATCAGTTATTGATTTTATGTCAGCTATATTTGTAAATAAATTATACCACTCTGAGCGGTCGATTTCCTCGCCTATATTGTTGTGACCTTTCATGTAAACAGTATTTTGGTTTTTTCCTTCAAATGTGTTTGTAACTTTGACTTAAAAAAAATCAATTTCAGGTCGCTTGGATGAGACCAGGTATTCAGAGAATAACTTAGCAGTTGCAGCAACTCCTAAAATAAGTATAAGTTTCCGAGAACTTCACAATTCCTATGGAAGACCAATTTTGAAGGACTTCAATTATTGGAAGCACGAACGGAAGGAGAAATCAGAAACTGTAGAAAATCTCATTTCTTTTTGAGATAAGCACTGATAAATTACCGATGATGTAAAATAATATTTATTTTGTAAATAATTTTTTGATAGGACCTTTGATTGAATATATGTTATTTCATTATTTATGTGATAAACCTGAGTTAACATTTTTTATTTTCAGTCGATGTTCCCCATTACCTAAACAATCAGAAGATGACTAAAATCTTCACTTTCAATACTCTCAATTGCAAGATATCTCAAAAAATACCCTTTTGGCAGAGAAGACAGCAAAAATCCAAGAATTACAGACCTTTTGGTTCTCTTACCTAAAATTAACTTCCATTCATGTATACTATACTATGTGTATTAATCTGATTATTAACATAACCTGTAATGTACTAGTTGTTTGGGTTTTGAGTAGATTTGAGACAAAATGAATATGAGTAAATTTTGTAATAATAGCCGGTTCATAGTTTTTTAGTTTTATATCGTTATTACATTTCAGACCTGTTGATATAATATAATTTTTTATTCAATTATATAACTGAACATTTCTTCTCAAAATAACGAAGTAAGAGCCATGTTCTCCAAATTCAACATGGTGTGACTATGACATCATCTAGGGAAATATCAAACAACTTGATTTAATGAAAAACAAAACACCAAGTTTCCTCAGTTTTCAAATAAAAATTCAAGAATCGAAAATTTTCACCAATTCACATACATGATATTTATTCTGTTGAAAATACTTTTTTCTCACCAGAACAAAATATTGTCTCACGTTTTGTTATCAACTCAGCTTCATCAGGAGATGTTGGTGCTAACTTGTTTTCAATGAGTAGATTGATTTCACCCCAGAGGTTTCAAATTCTAATTATCATATAATTTAATGTTTTGAAATCCATTTTTTTCTTCATCTATCTCAAATTCAGTGCTTAAAATTGACCTTATTTCAGTGCCTTTTATTTGCAAAAATGTTTTTGCATATTTTTTTTTAATGATATATTGCGATTGCGAATTCACGCAAATAAAGAGCAAAATCTACAACAATTACCAGTCAACTTATTTGATATTTCCCTATACCTATCTGTTACCGTTTTCGAAATATGAATTAATTTCATTTTTTTTCTTCGGTAATCATAACCTTTAATAATGCTGATATCTTTGAGTTGAAGAATACTATGGAACCAAAATTTAGTTTGGAATTAGGTGATACTTGGAGGCTTCTTACACTTCAGCGATATCTTCGTTACTTCAATTCAAATTGGCAAAAAATAATTTTTCAACCATGTCTCTGACTTGATTAGTTAAAAAACGATGTATTGTAGAACAATATGGGAACTTTTTTACCCCAAATTGAACGAAGAGTTCAACCATGAATTTTGTTTGAGGCGTAGGTATTATTATTTTCTTCAAATACATCGAAGTCAATTCCTCTATCCATGTCACTATTGAAGTTGAAAATTATTTTTCACTAAAAATTATAAACTCTCATTAACTGTTCCTGCTTATCAAATATCATTTAAATATCTCAAACCGTTTCGAAAATGTTGAATAATTTAATTTTTTTTTTCAAAATCTTCACTTCATTGTTTCGTAATGGAACATTTTTGGACATTATCATTATTTTTATGTAGATTTACAACTTTGAATATTTGCTTACCATTAAGGAACACCCACGTTATCATAAGTGAAGGGTTTGTCCCGTTGAAAAATATTTGTGTTGAAAAAATATCGTGAAATTTTCAAATTTTGTTGAATATTTACTTGCAACAGCTATGAATATCACGGTCAACTGAAAAATTATAAATTCAGTAATTCTTAAATATGGAGCAACTTGAAATTTACAAAAAATTATAAAATTTGATTGGCAGATCATGTCTTTGTATTAAAACTTCAAAAAAATATTTTGCTAATTTTTTTGAAATGATGGTACTTCAATCAATATTTTTGATTCCACATGTCTGCTTTTTGTCTTAAAGCAATATTGAGTGCTTTCAACATGTACTAACTTTACCAATGAAAATATCCTAATGTTGAACAATTAAGAGTCCCACACTGTACAAGAAAATGAGAAACTTTAACAAAATATATGAATCGTGAAAAAATGAGAGTAAATTTACGTTTGTTCGAAAGTGGGTGACAATGTTTCATAGTGAATTTTACTAGTTCGGACTTCCATTGTCTAAAATAATTCTAACATGATTCGAAATCTATGGAAGAACATATGAAATTAGTATGAATGGATAAAATGTTAATTATGCAATGAAAGTACAATAAAATGAATAAAATAAAATAATCTTAATATTTTATTCTTCATTTTATTTATTATTTGCTCTTCCATAGATAACCAATCATATTAAGAGTCATAGTGGATAATGGAGATCCGAACAAGTAAAATTTAACTATGTTTCTCATCAAACGTTGAACCATCCAGGAATAACTTTATTGTATATTCTGTACACGAAATATAATGAAAATATACAATGATATGGAGTTTCATATAGAAACTTCTGGACAATTCCATTGGGTTTTAATTCATTACCAGTATTATTTCAGACATTTTGAAATTCTAACAATATTTTCTCTATTTTTGCTCTTTGCTAGGGTAGGTACTTCAGGCCAATAATATTGTATACACCATAAGTATATCAATTATATGTTTACGAAGTTGAACAAACCAATTTTGTTTTTTCGCAACCAGATATAAAGTCAGGATTGTAGTTGTTTCTGAAAAATATACTCAGTTATTGTTCAATTTGCATTTTTTCTATTATTTAGAAGTTGAAAGTCTAAAGGGCCAAAAGGGCAACAACTAAAACAAGAATATAGCGTTACTCTTATAGTTGAGACTGAAGATCTGCAGAACTTCCCGTATATTTGATGAAATACAGTCACCCGCTATATCAAACTATTATGTAACCAAGTAGCAACAATTTTTTTACTTCTGAAGTTTTTGAAAAATTAGCTCTTATCGAGTGGTTTGTTTAATTAAACGGTATCATTTAGGAAAGTAAACTAAGATAGCTGGTCTGTTGAAATAAGCTTAGAATAGATTACGGCCTATTTTGGATTTGTAAGATGATTTTTAACTTCTGATATCAATAATTATTCAGTTTGTAAATCGCTATAATTGGCAAAATTCTTTGAAGTGTTTATTATATTTCTCAATATTTGATATTGAATATACGAAGTATCAAATGCCAATGTATCCCGGCAAGGTTATGTTTTGGAAATGTAAAGTAGTTTTTTTTACATATTCTATTCTAGGTATTTTATTCTATTCTTTATCTGATTATAAGAAGCAAAGTTCATTACTTTTGAAATTAATATTTATCATTGTTATGAATTAGTTCATATGAAATAATTTAATTTTAACCCAGTAAACCACACGCTTTATTATAAAGCCATACATAAATAAAAACCTAGTAAGTGGTAGAAAAACTGGCCTCATTTCCATAATTATTAATAATACATCAGATTTTCTGTAGGGACTTTTTAAACACAATACATTTTCACCTGAAATGATTTATTTTATAAATATATACTATCCCTCCGATTATCAACTAAACCAACCGCCACTGTTTTATGGTCCAACTTACTTCCCGTAAACGAACAAAGTTATGCTGCCTTCAATGTAAGGATGGAAAATGCCTCTTCTATTGTCTTTTATTAGTCTGAGGACTCGACCGATAGGCGGATAGTAACTTTTTGGGTTTTGTTGAGTCATTATCAAAATAAAATCTGATTTTACAAGAATTGTTTATTAAATGGAAATGGAAAAATTTAATTTCCATTCTGATTTTCAAAGTAGAAAATACACTCATAAATGAAATAAATGCTGCACAGTTTTCCTCTATCATATTCAATACGACTCAAAATATTTTTCATGAAATGGAAGACCAAATAGCCTTAGCCAATGTCTAACCAAATTAATAAATCCATAAATGAAAACAATATACCATCAAGAGTCGAGGACAAGGTTATTCTGGTGCCAACACTTGGAAGGGCACGTGGAGTTAAAAAAACTCTTAAAAGATTTCACATGTTTACTGTGCTGCTTATAACTTGAATCTAATAGTACTTAATGATGCAGTAAAAGAGAGGTTATTGATATGCAGCATGTTTTTGAAACGGTTCAACAAGTTTACTGTTCTTTTCTGGCCACTGTATCAAAATATGTAATATATGATGGAATCGGCTGATACTTGATGAAAATCCAAAACTAAACGTATTCTAAAGTCACACAATAAAGTGTTTTTAGAATATGTTAAAAGATGTAATATCTTCTAACGTTTTATATCACATGATAAAGAAAGAAAGTCTTCAACTTCCATAACATTAAAAACATTGAACCCTACATAATGAGTAGGGTGTGATGATGCTATTTTTCCTTTTAAAGTGGTTTATTGAAGCCCAAAAAGCGCTAATGAAAACGATTCTGTTGAATTGCAAATCAAAGGAAAGAAATGAAGCTATTTCACTCAAGAAAAAGTTTGAGAACTATAATGTTATGTTATTGGTTTTTCATTGCAAAATTTTACAAATATTGATTCAGCCTCTAATCACTTCAGTCAAAAGCCACCGATCTTTCATGCCTTGAAACGTTTGAAAATTTGTTTGGAAAATTGGAAAGGTATCGACATGAATTTGAAAATTTAAGAAAGGAAGCAAATACTGTAGCAAAAAAGTGGTCTATCAACCCTGAGTTTCCTGAAACTCGTCAGAGGAAGGATCCGAAAAGTTTGTTCAGAGGGAACATATTTTATCGAGTTTTGGATGTCATTATTAATCAACTGAAATCGCGTTTCCTTCCAATGAATTAAGTTGTTTTCAATTTCAGTGTTTTGCAACCTGCCACTTCACAAAATTGAATGATATTGACGTATTGAATGAAGCACTAGAGTTTGTTGAAATATATATGAAAAAGAAATATCTGAATCATTTGCCAGGAAAATTCTCAATTTTCATGTCCATCTTCAGAGATGAAATAGAATAGTCAACATGTATTGAAGAACTTGCTGCATTATTAAAAAAGAAACATTTTATGTCATGCAGCTTTCCTGAAATATGTTCTGCATTAATGTTATTTGTTACAATATCTATGACTGCAGCTAGTGCTGTAAGATCAGTTTCGAAACTGAAATTAATAAAAATTCATTCAAGAACAAAACAGGCTACGTAACTTGGCTATTTTGTCTATTAAAGATTCTATGGCCTGATCTTTATAAACTTTGATGATGTTACTGATACTTTTGCGGAACAGAAAGCTCAGAGAAAATAATTTTATCAATGAATATCTATTATAAATATATACGAGTCAGAACTGTGTCTTCTATGAGAATCTGCAGATTTTCTGAATTTTCTTGACAATTGTGAATCCTTATAATTTGTGTTTTGTCAACATTGAAAAAAAGGTCATGTCCATTGAATAATCCTGCTACTTTATTTATGGTATCATTACATTTTTTTCTAAGATTTTCATATATGAATTGGAAACGATTAATGACAAATCACATGCTTATATAGTATAATGCAAATGTTTTAATAATGTGATCCAGATGATTCACGTACAAATTGAGCCTTGTGGCACGTTTCCAGTCAAACGCGCAATCTCAGACTTGATAATTTTAGTTATTCCACTATGTATAAATTGTAAGGTGACTATTTGTTTTCGATTCTTTAAAAATTATGAGATCCATTAATGTGCTGAACCTCGCGAACCATATATTTCCAATATTGATAGGAGCTTGTCATGATTAACACAGTCGAATGCCCTACTCAAATCAAAATATATTACAGCAGGGCATTCGCCTGCTTTAATCATATTATTTATAATGAAAAGAATGAAAACATTGCGGTAGTACCTAGTTGACATTTCCGAATGGAAACCATGTTGTTTCTCACTAAGCATTTATTTAAGAATGGTAATAACCTATTGAGGAAAGCATATTCAAATATTTTTGAAAAGCTGTAAGGTACTGTTACCGGTCGGTAATTTTCTATAAAGAGAAATCTTTCTTCTTGAGGGGAGGAACCACTTTTCCTGTTTTCAGGCCATTCGGAAACGCGCCACACTCAAAAGACATGTTAATCAAGTGGGTCAATGGTTTTATGATATTACCAATAATATCCTTCAGAGAGAATGCTGGAACATCATCCAGACCTGCTGACTTTTTATTTTTTATTTAATTTTTCATAAATGAATTCATTTCCTGAATACGGATAAAGAGACATAGTTGAATACAGATAAAGGGTCATAGTTTTACTGTTGAGCTGATTTTTAGTTAGTTTTAGGTATAAAAAAACGCATTATCAGTTATCTTATCTACCAAACTAGTGGGCGCTTCTATGAAAAATTTATTGAACTCTCTGGCTAATATATAAGGATCATATATTGTTTGACCGTCAGTAGTAAGGATGATATTTTTATTTAAAATGAATTTTTTCATAAGCTCATTATTAACCTGCCATAAGGTACACGTAGTGTTTTCTGAATTTCCAATATGTTCCTGAAAACATGTTTTTCGTTTTTCCTTTTACAGAACACTTTGATTTTTTTGCCATTTTATAAACGGGAGCAGATATTGGATGAGACTTTTTCAATAAAAACAAATCTTTTGATTAGGAGAAATCACATTATTGTCAACCCATCTTTTATATATGTTTTATTATTGTGATATATTTTTGAAAAATTAACATAAAAATTTAATAAAAAGATATTAATAAAGAATGTGAAGGCATTTTGGAAGCTTTCTATTTCATAAAAATCTATCAAACAGTTTCTGAAATTATTTATATTAAGTATTCCTTGAAATTTCTTTTCAAGGACTATTCATTTTCATATTTCCTTCGGTTTTATAATTTCCCAATCCTAATAAAATTCTTCCGTGATTAGATATATCGTTATCCAGAACACAACATGTTCCCTCATTGTTGAAGTTGATAAATATTTGATCTATCGATGTGTAAGATATCTGAGAAACTCCAGTGGGCCACTTAACCAGAGGAGCTAAATTGAATTCTAATAATAACGTGCAATGAGAAACAAAATGATCGTTTTTAAATCTATAGAAAATAGAAATTAATATCGCCTCAAACAATCTTGTTCATATTTGGCTTGTAATTTTTTTCCAATACAAATGGCAGTAATACCGATTAAATTGAACAACTATTCACTGAGATAATATAGTTCAGAGTAGATTCATAAAAACGGACATAATTTTTGAAACAACGTTATATGGCTCTTTATAAGCTGTGCTTGAAAAGTTAGGTGAATTTTCATGATGCTACTCTTTTCTCAACTTCTTTTGTTCTCTCTTGTCAAGAAAGGACAAAAGGAAAATCATAGATAATAATAATAATAATATAACTGTAGTATAGTATAACTGTGGCACCCCCGGAAACCGGAGGCACAAGGTCACCCATCTGTTTTATATGGATGATCTTAAACTTTATGCCTCTGGAGAGAAGGATCTCCATCAGTCCTTGAGGGTGGTGGAAGAGTACACGCANCCAATGATCACTTACCCCACGGTGTGGGGAGTGGTCATTGGTTGATTATGCTGGCGCGCCCTCCCGAATATATCGGGGCTTCGGGGGATAGGGCCTGACCAGCGCACACTACGGTGATAAAAAAATAATAATAATTCACGTAGGAAAGAAGAATACAGAACATAGTAGTAAGAAGATAAAGGTGAATAAATGAGTACTCGATAAGTGTTTTTCACACTCAAAAAATTGAAATTTGGGATAATGAAATCAATGCATGAATACTTTAATTTGAAGTGAAATCAACAGGTGAAACTTTCAAGATGGCGACTGAGGAAAGAAAAATTAAATGGAAAGGAGGGTCTTTTGACACATCATTTTGAAGCTCCTGACGAATATTTCACAACCCTAGAATATGAAGTCAATATCTTCACCAACTACAAAATGGCGGAACATTTAATAATTGCCCGAATACAATGACATTTAACTATATAATATGAAGTGATAAGCTTGAGGTCAGTTCAGAAGATGCTTGAAATGGTTGCCTTGAACTTCTTCACAGATGAACAGCCTATCCGATATTTCACGCCGAACATTTTCGAAAACAGTAACGTCAATATCTCTACAAATATTTATTATTCTCTGCCGTATATCCAACATTGAGGCAGGTTCAGTTTCGTACACCTTTTGCTTCAAATATCTCCATAAAAAAGTCCAAAGGTGTCAAATCTGGCGAGCGGGCTGGCTATTCTGTAGGACCTCGACGGCCAATCCAACGACCAGAAAAAGTAGAATCCAAATAATTTCCTACTTGTCTGGAGTAATGGGGTGGTGCTCCATCTTGTTGGAATATAATATCCATATCGAACTCATTAGGATTCCCTTCGACGATTTCAGTGATGAGAGGGTCAACAGTAGTTTCCAGCATGTTCAAATACAGTTCCCCTGTTAAATTTTGATCAATAAATAGAGGTCCTACAATAATGTTTTCCAATATTCCTGCCCAAACGTTAATTTTTTTCTGGATATTGGAAAAACCGAAAACTAAATGAGAATATTCTACCTGAACAATGATGTTTTCATAAACAAAACATAACTTAACAGACCTTATCAGGTTGTTGGAATTGCCATATGGCACATAAAAAGAAATATTTCTGGAAATATCGATATTAATTTGTTACACTAAAACACTAAAAACTTCATTTCAAATATTTTTTTTGTCAACAAAATCAGAAATCATTTGTCTTGGCTGTCTGCATATAAATTGCGTCAATGACTTTTTGAAGTGGTGAAATATATTAATGTTTTTTATTATATTGGGAAGAGTATTGGATACTTTTGGAGCCAGGTAAGTATATGTATGCTGCAAAAGTGATTTTTGTGTTGATGGAATTACATGATGAATTTTTTTCGGGTGTTTTAATTGTGTGACGCTATAACTTTTTTTCTTGTGGTACGTTAAAATTATATTGAAATAAAAGAGTTGACGAATGTCAAAAACACCGACGTCACAAAGCAAATTGTCTGTGGGAAAGCGTGAACTTTTCGAATGTATCAGTTTTAGAAATTTGTTTTGTAGTACTTCAAGAGGACGAAGGTGTGTTCGAAATGCCCAGCCCCAGCATGCCATCCCATAGTGTAAATTACTTTCTACTAGTGCGAGGTAAAGAATTTTCAGGTGGATTCATCTTAAGGAAGATGAACAAAACTTCAACGACCTAAGAACACCTAAAATGAAAGATGATTCAGCTGTGGGTGATTTGATTTTTAGGAAAAAATACAATGTGTATCTTATGGATTTGTTCGAGGAGTTTGAATATTGTCCAAATATGGAAACGCAAGAGAAAAATAACCAAGATTGGCTGTCCATGCGACCCTTACCTTTTTCTTTTTTAATTGGCGACATATCAATTGGAAACTAATCGATAATATAATCACAAAAGTCGATCAATAAAAACAAACTATTCTTCACGGAAAACTCTTTCAAACTATATAGAATATGAACTTCGTGTAATACGAGTAGATTGAACAGAAAAATATGTATATTTCACCAAGCCTGAAACGGCAGTAATTAAACCGATAATCAGTGATTAATAAAAACTAAATCAAGAACTTTTTCTAATATTTCGAGAAGGATCAAATTTTGACTGAAGGTAATAACAAAAAGAGATATAACAGCATTTCAATTTTTTTTAAAACAAATATTTTTCATTGTATTTCATACAATAGTTCATTTGAATGTCGAGGACGGGGTCCATGTAACAACATCACTTTCAGAAAAATCAGAATTTTCTTGCTCAAGATATGATACTTAATTTGAATTAATTACCAGACATTTTCTGGTTTGCCTTTCTAATTAACTATTTTACTATCATTTTCTTGCGAACAACTGTACATCGTCAATGAGTTTATTGGAAATTCCCACATTAGAATAAAAGTACTGTCTCTTAATACGCGTCTCACTAACCAAGTTAGCATCATCATAAAATGACAGTTGACCAAAACTTTTCTTTTTAACTGAGTTCATTTTTTATTCAAGATTGGTTTTATTCAGTCGAAACATTGTATTTGCTAGATCTTATTGATAATGGTGTTAATAAAAACATAATTTTCGAAAAACAATAACAGAATTTCAAAAAATTAATGACAGTGTTCAAATTCATTTATGATGACTTTAAATATGTTTACACGTAATAGTTTATGCCCAAAAAGGAAACACATAAATCATTGTACTCAAAAATATCTTTATTTCCTGGTAACAATTGAGGAGTTTGAAAAATCAATCTCCTTTTGAGTATACGGTAGCGAAATACTTGCGAATACACTGACTCAAGGCATCCGCAGCTTCACCAGCAGTATTACCTTGTCTGACGCTACATTCATTTATCATTTCGTTAGTTTTGTCAACACCCAATTTGTGATCATATCCGATTTTCTCTCTCAAAACATCTTTGTCAATGTCTCCATTTTCTTTCTGTATACCAAATTTGACGTTCATGCAAAGGGAACGAGGTTTTATTGCGTCTGGTTTCTCGCACTCGCTCTGGACTTTTCGGTATTCCTTCTCGATGTTTTCAGCATTGGCCTGTAATTAGAAAAAGTATTTATCCACTGCCTGATTTAGAAGATTAAAAAAATTCAATAATTTTCCGCGGTGGTAGTGCGTCCGACTCACGATCGGAAGGCCGTGGGTTCGATTCCCGCCTCGACTAGATATTTTTCTCGAGATAATTTATCTGGTAGAAGCTGGAATGATTCTGCATCCGTGTAGGAATAACACGTTAAAAGTTAAGACCTCGTTAGTCCTCAGCTAGCACAAGTTTTTCAAATTCTGATTAAAGGAAAAACAGATTTTAAACAGAAACAGAACAGATTATAATATTTATATGGTTGTTAGTTTAATAGTATAACAACCTTGTCTATAATGAAACGTTTTGTGAAGTGAAATTATCACCATAGATCAAAATAGATTTTGCCTTCATGAACAGACAGAGGGCGATAGAGTGCAACTGGCGTAGTATATCGAATTATTTGACACCAATTTTGAAAATAATCTCGGATAACTAAATTTTCAGGATAACAAAAAAAAAGTGAAATTCGACAACGTCAACTCCGCTCTGAATAAAAAAAATTAGATATGCTCATTGCTCGTTAATTATATTCATTATTCATTCAATTATCATTACCGATATGATGATGAGTAGCAAAATATTTTATCAGCAGAACCGATGACGACAATAGCAAGTTTACTATGTCTACACTGACCTAATTTTTTGGTTTAACTAATGATCTTTTCCCGTTAGATGTCAAGTAAAATATGTGATTTTTGGGAAAAAAATCGAATGGATGTCTCGAGAAGGATTCAAATATTTGTTCAATTTTTTTAGTTGAGATCTGTATACAAACATTGTGGGAAACTGCCAAAGGAGGGAAAAATGAAGTTCAAAATAAAACTCTTTACGAAAATAGAAGTTGATCTCAGCTACAAACTCGAAAGAAATTCCATTCCGATACAACTATTTTCACACGAATATCGAATTACACTAAAGAAAACGTACTTTTGAAACAACTGCTTCCATATGAACTTCGAATTATACCATAATCACTTTTTCCTATTCAAATTGTATCCCAAATATTCGTTGTGGAATTGAATCAGATATCACTGATAGGAACTCTACACAATATAATATATGGAGGAGTTACGATATAAAATTTCACTTACGCGGAACACTGATATCCTCGATGTTGGAGAATAAATTTGATTTTTTTTTCGAATAATCTTCAGATTGAAAATTCAAACGTTATAATATTTTAGATTCATTAAGACTCGTTATACTATGACTTATAGGAGTACTATACTACGGTCCGAAGAACAGACCCCAATTTTTTTATTTGACGAGACAGACTTCTGCTTGCTTTGAATGAAGAGCTAAGAATAATAATTTTTAAAGGAATTTATCGTATCTGTCTGTCAGTATGTCTATTCATCTATGTATCTGTCATCCACAAAAGTATGGTCAGAAACTTCGTATGAATAGATGTTGAGCAGAATCTAAAGTCGGAAAATTAAATTTTCCAGTACCTACTTTTTCGGATACTTTTAAACTTTTCAATTCATTATCTTCAAAACGGGCAAAGATATCAGAAATATGCCGATCAAAGAGTGTTACAAAAAGTATTCAATACTCTTTTTGATATTTCCATTAGTACGGGAGTAATCGCAAAAAAATGATTTTTCGAATTTTTTTGAATAATTGAAGACAGAAAGAATTGTTAATTATCCAGAGGGTCGGAAATATCCAAATTTGTCTTAGAAACAATTATATTCGTTCATGAAAAATGTAATATGATTTTCCCTCTATTACTAGTTTCAATCGATATTATCGACTTGGTAAATTTTGTTAAGAGGAAACGAGTTGGACTGAAAACGGAGAAAATCAAATATATCGAAAATACTTATATAGGCTCACATAATCGAAATACGAGCTCTCGCGAAAAATAAATTTTAGATGGGTATTTACTAACTTTGATAATTTACTCCCTGGTTTGAATAGAAAATTGCAAAAATCCACAGTGAAAAAATACGGTGCATTTTAAAATACAAATAAAAAATCGTTTATCATTGGAAAATAATTTTGAATCTTACCAAGACCAAAACTGTAACAGCCAACACGATGCCAAAGGAGAGTTTCATGATTACAGTAATAACGATTATGCAGAATCAAGAAATTTCTCTTTTATATACATAAAGAGAAAAAGGGTTATCCAATGGGTCAAATTTCAATCAAAGGAAAACTGATTATACATTTGTTAGATAATCCTTATGAACTAATAACAATGTTGCAATTTATTATCATATTGCCACATCCAAAGTTCAGTTCATAAACACACGAAAAAACTCAAGAACCTTTCTGAAATTTTTTGGAAAGCTACTTCTACCTAGAATGATGTTGTTTATCCCCCCCGGAAAATTTGATTCCCGCAAATTTCAACAGAATGATTAACATAGGGATGTTTGGGATACCACGTTTGCCAGAGTTCATAGTTCTCACGCCAGACTTTGCCATTTCCAGACTTTCGAAAGCTTCCAAAAATTTGATGTCACGTACCGATATCAACAATTTAATACAGTTTTCATTCATTCTCTGGCCGTTCTCCAAAGAGTGTTGAGCGACACTAATCTTTTCTCTTCTTCGAAATGGGATATATGCTGTGTTTGCCTAGAAACGAGTTTTAATGACTAGCTTAGTCTGATCGATATAGTTTTTGTCAGACTATTTCGTATATCGATGACTATCTTTTATTTCAACATTCCGTTGTTCGGGTTACCTAAAATTTGTTGAAGTGAGCAAGAAGTTTCTGAAGGCCACTTTCACGTTCAACTTTTTGAAAATACGGTTTTATTCATTAGTGTATTTTGGTTAATACGAAAATAAAATGCATTTTGAATCTACATATTTCTGAAAAATCAAAGATCTACGAAGTTCTAAAATTCACGTTTTTCAATCAACTTATCTACTCTATATCCATGGCAGGTGTATTCGTTATTGAATTAGTATCATATTCAAAAACACTTTATCATGAAGTTTTCACTAAACACTTTTACAAAAACGCAACACGTGTTTCTCAATACAATGCCTTCTTTGGGCGTGTCTTTACTAACTATATTCTACATATTCAATGCTTACTATACATAATTTTACAATTTGAAGTACCTGTATTTCAAGTACTTGAGTATGTAATGAATCAAATTACCTGACCTTGTGTCCACATTTGAAAAAATATTTAGTAACGGGGAGTTATTCAATTCTAATTCATCATTCGGTAAATTACTTGAATTCTCGAATTTTTTGATTTCTTAACATGTCCTTCTGCTGAAAGATGATTCGTGAATGTGGAATTGGTCTTTCTATTCACAAAACTAATTCTATTCTCTTCAATTCTTTAGAAAAATGCTCTCCCTGTTTGGCCAATAAACGTTTTGGACAAAAGCTACAAGTCAGCTTATATACTCATGATCTAAACAACTCCTTTATTATTTCTAGAGATTCTTTTTCAGTATCCACTGAATCCAGATAAACGTCAACATAGAACTTGTGAATTATTGCATTTGTCACGTCTCTGGAGGTTGAATGTGTGGCATTCAAATTCTTGATAAATTGTGCACAAAAAGGAGAACATGTGGCCACAAAGGTCTTCACCTGCATTTGGTAGGTATTAGGTAGTCTGAATGTCTCCAAATCTCGCCATAAAAATCTTTGCGAACATTGATCTGCCACTCGAATTTTCATTTTTCTTGATGAAATATTTCTGCTATGTCTCCACAAGAACCATATCGTCGTTGTCTGAATTTCCAGAGTATCGGGACTAGTGGTTGCAATAAGTCTGTCCCTGATAACAGATTATAATTCAGGCTCAATCCATCTACTTTAGCTGCCGCATCAAACACTAGTCTGAGTTTTCCGGTTTATTTAAATTTTCGACCCCGAAATGAGGAAGGTACCAAGTTTTTGGACCTCTCAGTTTGGCTTTTTCTGAGTTTAACTTTATTGTGTATTCCTTCTCGATATAGCTCATGATTTCATGGAACGCCGTTTTACTTTTTATTGTCACAAATATTCATTCCTCAATTTATTCAACTAACAATTTATTTGTTTCAATTCAATTAATTCATGCATTTGTTGAACACATTGTAAACGATTGTCATCTGTCATCTTTATTTTTTTCAGATATGCAAACTATGACGCCCCCGTTAGGCTGCACAGACTTTTATTTGTGGAGAAGTGGATGGTGGAAGGCCTTTCATTCGTTGACTTTGCATTCTTGTTTTTTTTTTGAATCTGAATTCGTGGTGACCATTTTTTAAACAACAAAAATATAACTTAATATCAGATATTGCATTCCACCGTGTTTCCTCATCATCACATTTCAAAATTGAACAAGAATCTTCTTCGTGCTTACCACAACAGTAAGAACATTCAGCTATTACTTCTGTTCTCAGTACCATCTCTGTTTCTTTTGAGATATGAGTTATTGGGGCAAATCTAGTAATACTGTAAGATGTTGCCACCTTCGGTGTACTCACATAGCTTGCCGTCATCGTAATATTGCCTAACTAAACAAAAAAATCTTTCAAACAAACTTCAGTCTCTCAGCATGATTTCTTTTCCTCACTTCAGCTTTAATGAATCAGTTATTTCGCTAAGAGTTCCTTTAGAAGATGTGGATTTTTCAAATGATTCACTGGAAGGAGAGCTTTTACCGTGGACACAATTTTGCTCACCTCGTTAGACAGTGTTATTAAACTTTCTATAAGATTTCTCGCAACGGTGGTATAGTTTTTAATATTGAGATCATGACTTCTATCATATTGTAACGAATTAAAGAATTAACTGTCTTAAACAAATTTATTTTTAACAATACTTCACTATCACAATTAATTTATATACACCACTTAGCAAATAACGCTTCATTTATCTTCACTGTTTGTTAACCGCTCGATTCGCTTTCTAGATATAGACTCCCCCTCTGAAATCCATCTTGATTTTGATCAGGTTGAAAATCTCTTCCCGTACCCTTTCGACTGTCTCTCGCCATGAGGACGAGTGGTTCATAACTAAGAGTGGTAACGGCATAGAGGTCAATGACATCTATGCCGCTCTGGCCTTGTGTACTCCTTCCTGACTGGGGTATTGATGAACAAACTGTTCATTTTAACAGACGTCGTGGGGCCTTCACTCAACCGAGCGACGGGGCCTTGTGAATCGAGTGGGTTCGTCTATAGTGTAATCTACAGCTTCCCTAACTAATGGGTTATCATGAGTTTCCGCTTACTCGAAAACTCTCTGATTCCTCAACTGAATGGACTGCTGTATGGTTAACAGCTTCAAGTCTCTGCGAATGGCTTCATTCCGCACGAACCATGGAGCATTCACCAGCATCCTAAGGAGTTTGTTTTGCAATCTCTCCAGAATGGAGAGATTTGTCGGAGCGGTTAGTCCCCAAGCGCCTGAAGCATACATAATGACAGGCTTGAATATCGTGTTGTATATTAAAATCTTGTTCTTAAGATTTAGTTTTGACTTTCGATTTATCACAGGATAGAGTTTAGCTATCCTCATTTGTATTTTGTCTTTGATGTACTCAATGTGATTTACCCAGGTGAGTCGGCGGTCTATCCAAAGACCTAGGTATTTGACTCGCGTTTGCCATTCGATCTCCCTGCCTGAGATCGTGACTCTTGTGTCTGGAGAAACGTTGCGCCTCCCCAAATCTATCGCCTGAGTTTTTTCTGGGTTCACCCGAATCTTCCACTGTAGGTACCAGCGTTCGAGGTCGTCCAATGCGCGTTGCATGTAGACGACCGCCAACCCCCGTCCCATGGAAGAAGCGAGGAGAGCTGTATCATCGGCGTATAGGGAAGTCTTCACGTGATCGAACCTCGGAAGGTCGCTCACGTAAAGGCTGTACAATAGTGGAGACAGCACAGCTCCTTGAGGCACTCCAGCTTGGATTTCCCTGACCGCAGACAGGGTTCTTTCAACTCGGACCTGAAATGATCTGCCTTTCAGAAAGGACCTAATCCACCGGATCAGGCCCCGAGGCAGGTCGAAATCGAGCATTTTGTGTAGTAAGCCTTCGTGCCATACTCGGTCGAAGGCTTTTGAAATATCCAGGAGGACAAGATGGACTGTCTTCCTGTTATTTAGCTCTGAGATGGAGTTTTCGAACAGTCTCAAGGCCTGCAGCTCGGTGGAGTGTGCCCTCCAGAAACCGAATTGTTCATCAGGCAGAACATTTCGGTCTTCAACTTCTTCAGTTAGCCTTTGCAGCACAACATGTTCAGCCAGCTTAGCCACTGAGCAAAGCAGACTAATTGGACGGTGGTTCTGGGGAAACAACGGGTTCTGGCCCTGTTTCGGAATCGTGACAACTACGGCATGCTTCCATCTTCGAGGGAAGTATCTGAGGGCGATTGAGCTGTTTATAATATCCAGCAAATATCTGATAAAGTTCTCCGGGAGCTGCTTCAACAACCTATTGTTGATTGAATCAATTCCCGGAGCCTTTTTGGGTTTGGAGGCTCTGATGTACCCCCTCAGTTCTTCCTCCGAAGCTGGACGGATCACATCGTCGTCATTCTCCCTGAGGATACCCCGAACTCGTTGTTCCAGCCGGATATCACGGTCAATATCATCATCCGGATCAACGTTAAGTTGGAACTGATTTTCCATTGTATCTGCAAAGGCCAACGCCTTCTCGGCGGGGGAGTAGCAGATACCGCGCTGTCCGTGAAGAGGGGAGGGAGCAGTTTTCCTCTTCTCGAGCCTGCGGGTGACTCGCCATAACTCATCATCCCCAGGTTCAAGAGATTCCAAACACTCACTCCACCTCTCGTTTCTGTAGTCAATGATGGCCCGTTTGACTTCGTTGGCCATCCTGTTAGCAACAGTCTTGTCCCCAGGATAGAGGGTCCGCTGATAAACTCGTCTGAGTCGGTTCCTTTCCCGGATAAGGTTTTTTATCCTGGGAGGAAACTCATTATAGTTTCGCACTCCGTCCTAGTTGTGGCTGCGCTGAAAGCGTTGTTCACAGACAGTTCGAAATCTGCCACTGCCGCGTCGAGACTGTTGCGAGTTTGAAGTGCCTCGCGGTCTGTAGGTGTCTCCACTAGATGAGCCTTGAAGGCTTCCCAATCCGTGGATGATCTCATGCGATATTCCTGAGGAGGGGGATCATCACCCAGCATCAGGA